ACCAGCCGGCGCCCTCGAACCATGCCCTGCCCAAGTCCTAGAGAGGCAGTCTGCCACCCCATGACTCTCCTCAGCCGCTCTCATCTCCAGGCCTCTGCTTTCGGGTCTGTCCCAGATTGAATGCTTCCTGTGGGAAAGCCTCACTCCCACTTCCCAGGACAGAGAGATCCATGGGCTGAGAGCGGGGGAGGGAGGGAAGGTTTATCAAAAGCCATTGTAGGGCAGCGGGGAGAGTAAGTGTGAAAGATGGACATGCGGCCAGGCTCCCAGTTCACTAGCTAATAGAGTGCCCAAGTGGCCACTATCAACTGCGAAAGCAGATACCGTAATCCCATACTACTTCCTATTGGCTACAGGACACAGCTCTGTCCTGACACTGAAGTTTGGGTGTGCCGGGCTTCTGGGAATTCACAATGGTCACAACAAGTTGTGAAGCAGCTGCAGGGCAGGGCAAGGGGAAGGTTTCAGCACAGGAAGTGAGGTCAGCCCACAATTGATGGCTAGTCCAAGCCCTTGGCCGTCGCCCCCAGCCTCTACTCCCATCCAAGGGCAGGGGGAGGGAAGGGTCCCTGGCCCATCTTCTAGATGACAGCAAGACCCCGCCGAGTTTTAAGGGTCATCTCCTGCTCCCAACACCCACATCTCTTCACTGGGCTATGAGGCCAACATGCAACAGCCTTTGCATGTTGAATTCATAGACACGCCCATCGAGGGTCAATGCAGTCATGCACTCACTGCCAGCTGAATGGCATGTGGAGCCCATCCAAAGACTTGGGGATCTGCTTCCCAAAGGTCATGGGTGTGAGGATGTACTCTGCACGCATGGGGTAGCTGTGCGTAGACCGATAGCAACTCACAACAGTCCTGTGTCAGAGGGTGGTACCGATGGTGTATGCTTGCTCACCTCCTTAAACAGCCAGCGTGACCTCGCCAGGAGCACCGAGGAAGAAAGGCCTGGTGAACTGCTTTTTTATAGCTGACATCTGAGAAAAAGCCTAGGGCACTCAGGTCTGTTCTGTAACCACGCAGTGTTGATGGATTGGCTTTGATCTTGGTTTACCTCAGGGTCAGCACAGCCGGGCAGGATGTTTGCTGTAAACTGAGGCGATGTGGTTGTTCGATGCCCTGGAGTGGGTCCCCACTCACAGTGACCCTGACGGACAACGAGCGAAGCACTGCCCAGTCCTGTGCCGCCGTCACAGCTGTCCGTCTGTCTGAGACCATTGTTGCAGCCACGACAACCAGCCCTCTCCTGGACAGCCTTCCCCTTTCCGGCTGCCCCTCTGCTCTACCAAGCAGGGGCTTTCTCCAGGGACCGGTCTCTCCTGCGACATGTCCCAAGTACGGGAAACCAAGTCTCAGCATCCTGGCCTCTAAAGAGCATTCCAGCCATACTTCTCCCAAGACGGATCTGTTGGTTCTTCGGGCAAACGGAGATAAGTATCCATTTCCTTTCATTCTCAGAGCAGCCCTGGGAAGCCTTGTGTGTTATGTCCAGTTAGTACGCGGAAGGACTGAGATTAGGCAACTAGCTTGGGTTCTCAAGTAGGTGGTCTGACTCCAAAGTCTTTGAGGATAACCAAGAGACTTAAACTCCAGGATGTGGATGATGACGTCAGTCCTCTGAGCTGGTTGGGAGTGGGGTGGGGGCGAGGGGGTGGGGACAGACCTTAGAGGAAGAGTGTTTCTCCTTGGGGAAGAACCCTTTGGTGCCTGTCTCTGGAGTGGTCTACAACAGGTTCGAGCCCCCACCTCCCTTTGGCGGGGTGGGGGGCATGAGGGAGCGGCTCCCTCCACTCTGGGCGCCCGCAGTTGAGAGTCAATCCCTGCCCACTGTGCTGTGTCCCGGGCCTGTCCATTGCCCCAGAACCCCCCCATCTGGGATTGTACCCCAGTGTCTATGCATGCAGAGGCCACAGAGGAAGGGAGGGGACAAGAGGAGATATTGCGCTGCAGGGAGGCAGGTGAAGGGCTCGGACTGAGAGGGTACTTTTAGAAGGAACCCTGGTGGCTCAGTGCCCTATTTTAAACAGAAAGGGCGTTGGTGCCAACCGATTAGGCACTGATGCGCAGTCAGCTTTCGGTGAAGACTGCAGGCCTGGAAGCCCATGTGACAGCGGTACTCTGTCTATATGTCTCCAGGAGTGGAAATCCACTCCACCGCAGTGGGATCGGTTTTTGGGGAGGGAGTCCTTGAGGGCGGGGCAGAGGGCGGAGCCAAAGTTCTTCTGGCCCCTCACTAGCCCCAAACTGCTGAGCTTCCAGGGCAGAGGGCACTGAAACCACCTGTACGCTCACCACCCGCACTCCCACGTCCACCCCGACCCCGCGCGTCCTGGCCTCTGAGCCCCCTTCCGGACGTCCGTTCAGGCTTCAGGCCGTCCCTCCTCCCCCGGCTTTGAGCTGGAGGGGATGTCCCTGTCCCCTAGCCAGCTGCCAGACGCCTCTCCTCTCCAAGGGGCCGGGACCCCACGGGACCCCCGCGGCCCGAGTCCAAGGCCCGCCTCTGGGGCGGCGGATGTGGGAGGTCCACGGGCTGGGATCCCAGAGCTGGGGCTCGCTGCTCTCGGGGGTCTCCTCGGGGGAGGGGTCGGGCTCTGCCTTCCCCAGGAGGGCAGAGCCGGCGGCCCTCTGCTAGCTGGGCAATAGGAAACGGTTTATTAGGAGGGAGTGGTGGAGCCGGGCCAGGCAGGAAGACGCTGGAATAAGAAACATTTTTGCTCCAGCCCCCTTCCCAGTCCCGGGAGGCCGCCGCGCTGGCCGCGCCGACTGAGCCCCTCCT